AAAAAAAACTACCTTAAAATTAGTTCAAATATCGTAACATTTGAGGTGTTTTTACAGATTTCTGACTTGAATGCAGCAGATAAAGAGTAATGAGGACACGCTCTCCGTCCAGTTTAAAAGGGGAAATCGGTGGCGGTGCAACAACCGTGCCGTCTGTTTATCGGTCCCCGGAACAACAAAAACATGCGCGAAAGTTCCGCCTACTACTAAAAGAAACATTTCTGACTGCATTGTCCTAAAACCACATTCGTAACTTCTCGTATTTATTTAAGTAAGTGTTGTTAAATGTTAGTGACCAGAACCAGTCAGTGCGATGTAACGTTACTTTTATCGCAGGTTTGCTCATCTTCATTGTTGTTTAAACTAACTTGGCTAACTTTTTTAGCCTGCCTAGCTGTAGTTGCTTTCGTAAAATTATCGCCTTAATGAAGCGTGCAGAGTATATAAAAGTTTACAGGTACAGTAGCGAGATAAAATGTTGACACGCTTTGAGTTAGTTTTGTCACTTTTGACTTTACACGTCCCGTTTTCTAAAGTTGTCCATTAGCGAGCTAACGTTAGCCTGCTAACTCGGTATCGCCGTGATGTTTGCCACTTGCTAACATGATGCTTTGGTTTTTAACCTTGCTAACTGTAGTGTAATGGGGCTAAAAATTACATTTTAATATTTTAAATATATGTTTATATTATATAGGAGCCACAAATTTACCGCATACTGTTTGTGATAATCCAGTTTTCTCTGTATTGGGAGCTGAGATTTATTATGGAGCCAGGAACACCTGATCTGTAGAAATATAATATTTTATAACTAATAAAAGAATGTGTTGTAATATTTTATTCTTTATCAAAACAATCATATTAGGATTCTCTTACAAATATGCTTGGAGTGAAGATGCTGATTTTCTCATCTAAACTGGAGTGTTTACTTTGATTTCTATGTGAAAACTGCTATTACAAATAATCAGATATACTGGAACAAATCCACCTTGACTGCACCAAAGTGTTGGTATCTGCTGTTATTCTCAGTTATTGTTTGATCACGTTTTCCTTTTTTTTTCATGTATTTCTAATGTTATGTATGTAATTAACGTGTCACTCTCTTGGCAGTCTAAATTTGTCCCCTTTGCACAATTGTTTGAATAAATATTTACAGATTGTTTGTAACTGCACAGCAGCTTTCACTGATTGTTTAATCTGTTTGATGTCTTTCTATATTCCCCCTACAATCATCTTAAATCCTATTATAACGTTTCTTTCTTCTTCATTTCAGGGACCCAAAATGATCAATAAATAACAGTGAATCAGAAGAGCAGGAGCGGTGCAGGAAAAAATGCCTCTCAAAGTGCCTGGAGGCCAAGCCAGAGGAGACTACTCTGCAGTTCAAGTAGCTGTTCGAGTTCGGCCCCTGCTTCCCAAAGAGCTTCTCCACTGTCATGAAAGTTGCATCACTGTGGACGCTGAACTCCATCGAGTTACTTTGGGCCACGACCGACATTTTCTCTGTGACTACCTGTTTGAAGAAAGTTGCTGTCAGGAAGAGGTTTATTCTCTGTCCGTTGAACCACTCATAGATGCTTTTTTCCAAGGCTTCAATGCCACAGTCTTTGCTTATGGGCAGACAGGCTCAGGCAAGACATACACTATTGGAGAAGCTAATATTAGTAAGTTTTGTGTTTTTGTAATGTTTTTCACTAAAATATCTGAGTTCAAAAATAGAAGTTAATT